AGGGTTTTGAGTATATAAAGAGCTCTCTGACCCGCCAGGAAAATCCAGCATCATCATTACTTTAAAACAAATTATCAATAAATCCATCAATCAGATAAATAGAGTTCTTGTCCTCATTTGTTAGACATTATATATTTCTCTTATTGATTATTACTATTGTAGTTTGTAGAAGTTCTTTTGAAGACTTCATTCAGGAGGTGATCCTTGTAGTATTGCTCAAGTTATTAAGCAAATTCAATAACTTGAGAAACTCTAAATTCACGGGAGCTCCTCTGTGTTCAGAGTTTAAAGAACTTCAAATATCACTAGGTGATATTTCCCTTGATTAACAAACTCTAGAGTAGAGTGTTGTCAGCTTGGGAACGAAACTAGACTGTAGTTTCCACTCTACATCCTGCTAGAAGACCATTGTCTTGCATTAATTCCCGGATTTGTATCCAAAACCCTTTGTTAAAAGGTCACCTAACTGAAGTCAGTGCTGATTTGATCACACTACTTCTTAGCTAACCTTGTTTTGAAACTTAAAATAAGGTTTCCCCGCGCCTAATAAACTTAGTTTATTAATCCACCCTTATCTTTAGTGGTCTACTAGCCCAAAAGACGCTAGTAGCTCACACTACATGTGTGTCATTTGCACCATAAGTGCTTGCCAATGGCAAGCATGAGTATTCCTTGGATTTGTAGACAACACTATCTTCACATGCTGTACTCTTTCATATTATTACTTGCTTGCCATTGGCAAGAAATCAATTCATGCTTTGTATTCCTGGGATATTACATGTGTGGTATGAATTATGAGCGCTTGCCAATGGCAAGCAAGTCATTAGGTGGCATTTGAGGCTGGATGCTTGGCATCGGCAAGTGTGATTGCCAGTTGCGTATGTGCGTCAGAGGGCTTAAGGCTCCAGGCAAAAGATACATACACAATTGGCTGTTTTGTGTACGTTGCGTACGTGCGAGGAGGGCTCCGGGCTGGCGCCTTGTAGCTAGAATTCTTTCAAGATAGATTTAATTTTCAAATCAATTTCCGGTTTGAAAATAAAGACGTAGCCGTAGAACCAATCAAAGTGATACTTTTGGCGCATGATGAGAGATATCAGTTATGTCTTTTCAAAAAACCAAAAGGATCATGTTCATGAGCAAATTGAATTTCAATTGGATTGGAGTTCAAACAATTACATTGGATTTGTAACATACCACCGCCTACGATATCTGATCATTTGAGATTGTTGAAAGGTTAAGAAAGTTTTTATATATGTATGATAGGTATGACAATGAAAAGTATAAATGTGCTGAGAATCAAACATCCAAGGAAACAATTGTAGTGTTGTGTGCTGGAATTAAGCAGCAGGATGGTTGGCTCCCAAAAAATAGCACAGGAATGGTCAACAGTATAGCACAAGTGCTTGCTGTACACACCAAACCCATTCATCACAAGATCATGAAAACTGGTTGACAGTATAGCGTGAGTGCTTGCTGTACACACCAAACCCATTCATTGCAAGATCAAAGAAAACTAGGAAACAGTGATTGTAAGGAATAAGAGGAAGAAACCATTGACTCAAAAGAGTGCCAAGACGAACAATGAAATTATTATGAATTTTAAGAACTAAGCACGCTTTGCAATATTGAAAATCAGACAATCAAAAAAATCAAAAAAGTGGATGGAGACGACGATGGTGACAAAATGGGATGAAGCTAGATGAAGGGGTTCTCTTAACACATGTGGACGTGTTGATATATATTGCATTGTTGCTCGTTGAATGATGCAATTGTGCAAAGATAGCATGCAACAGTGAATCAAATTGAAATTAATTTGATACCACCATTGCATCATCATCACATCATATTGTGTGAAGATGCTCAAATTGATTTCACTATTTATCACATCATTGTTGCATCTGCTATGCGATAGCGTATTGAGAATTGCATCATTGTTGCAATGACACAATCCATTCAACGGAATCAAATAATATGAAATTGATTACATCATTCATCACCCAATGGTCAAATGAAATTGGTCCTCCTATGAATTCTAATCCTGCTGCATAATCCTATACTTGGACTTCAGTCCTTGTAAGTACCCCTTCCCACCAAATCACAATTCTTTCTCTTCTTCTGATTTCTACTTTTTCATCTCATGATTCTGAATCTTACCCTACCTCAATAGCTCTATTACTATTGACCTTAGCTATTAGTATCACTTCCTTCACTATCTCTGTACCCTCAATACCTTTAATCACAAGCATGTCTACCTCTGAAAACCCCAATCAATCTCGCATGCAAACCAGCCACCCAGGCATGGTTAGACCATCACCAGATCCTCGTTGTTGTGTCTTGATAGACAGCAATAACTCAGTCCACATCTTGTCTAAAAACAAGACACCTCATGCTCTGATCGAAGACTCTGACAACATGTCTGTGATTGTGAATGTGACCAAAATACACAAGCAAAGGGTGGAGGTTGAACTAAAAGAATGCACTGAAGAAGCTACTAGAGTTTTGAATCTTGGAAAATAAAAATAAAAAAAGGCAAAAAATTTCAATAAATAAATGAACAAAAGAAAAAGAAAAATAAAAAAATAAAAAAAAATAAAAAAATAATAAAAAAAATAAAAAATTAAAAAATTAAAAAATTAAAAAATTAAAAAATTAAAAAATTAAAAATTAAAAATTAAAAAATTAAAAATTAAAAAATCAAAAATACATAAAAAACGAATAAACAACAAATAAACAACAAATATAAACAAACAATTTTTTTTTTCAAGTTAGAATAACAGTCAACAATAAATATGTATGTACACATGTGGCTGTTCAAGCCATGAATCTCATTTCAAGATTTCTCCTCGTTGTTTTTTCACCTATCCTCTCTGCATTTAATTGACTTTGAACCCTTTTTTACAGAATGCGAGGTGTGTCAAAGTGACAAATCAAATTTCAAATTTTAAAATTTCAGAGTCCCCGGGTCAGAAATTGACTAAACTGGATTAAACATCAGCTTTAACCCCAATACTGGTCTGAAACCCCCGGTATTGGTGATAAAACCTAACTTTCTGCTAGTTTTACCTGTTTGCAAACCACAACTCAAATTTCGACCACTGACTTGGCACTTGATTGACTGGAGCATAGGGCCACCTAGTCTCTTAGGGGGCTAGGTGGCCTAGCGCTTCAGTCAATCATAGAGTGATTGACTGGAATGCTTGGCATTATGCCCGTTTTATGACTGCCGGGCCGGCT